TCTATATAACTGGTACCGGAAAAAAGTGACCAAAGTTCAGATTTTTTTCAGGTTGGTGACCATGCGACCAGGTTGGTGTTGGTAGGGTTCCACCCATCTTTTGATATCGGCTATCGGGTTTCCCCAGTGCACAAATTATCAAAGTCCGGCCTCCACTCAGACGGTCCCTGGAGAACATGGATCCCGGCTATCGAGATTGCCAGGAACAGAGAGCTGGCCAGTCGCAGGCTCAGGCTAAGTTGCGGGACTGACATTCCTGCTGAAACCTTGGAAGATCATTCGAGACTATGAAAATGGGTGGTCTTCTAATCCGAGCTGGAACTGACAAACTCCGGCTGTGAGTGCACTCACACATAGTTCACTCCGATTAGTAATACAGAAAAGTAGTATGTAATATTCGATGAATTGACGACGGACAACATGTTTTTATGAAGTTTTAAGTTGATCAATCAATATAACAAAGAGTACTGAGAGTAAAGCAAATAGGGAACACACACATATGACGTTGTATCACACTAAACATGACATGCATCAATGTACAATGCAAGAGAGGAAATCCTTATGAAAATGCGCAAAGCAGCACTGCGACAGCCAAAAAAGATCTGAGGAGTGAGCTACAGGAAGGAAAAAATTGAATACAGTATAAGAGCGAAGCCAAGACTTCATCTACTTCCGCATTTAACACTTCTACAATCAGAGGCGGTAGGATATCGAGTTGCTGAGAAGCGCTCGCTGCCACGTTGCGACCGCTTGCAATGCAAACATCGCTACATCGCTGGAGCGCAGTTGTTGGAGCTGATCGGGAAGTAACAATCTTTTCAGATTGTGGTGTTTCGAGAAACGGGAGGCAACATGTCCATGTCTCTACTGTTGCTTTTTCTACCTACTCGCAATCTGAACCTTCCCCCTTTCGTAAAATAGTCTGGACGGTTTATGGACGGATTAGTGGTGAATTGCGGGAGGGTTTTTATGTTTGGACGAGAATAACTTCTTTCAAACATAATCCTTTGCCAAACTGTAAAAGTCATCGGAACGCGCATTATTTCCCCTTTTTAATATGCTTCACAATTTTTCTGAACATCCGCTGCATAGAAGATATTACAGATGTTTTGATCTTAGGCGGAATTCTGAGCCACTCAAAAACTCGACTCTTCCTGTGCCAATGCAAGAGTACTCATTCGGGAACTTCCATATGATTCCAAAACACCAATACTCGTTGAACTGAGTCAAAGCATAGGATATCATCGATAGATTTGGTCTACGTGTGCGCCGTGCATTGCGCTGCTATGAAGAGGTGGTGGAAGGGTGCAACTCTAATTAGCATCATTTTACCAACCAACTAATTATTCGCACGTTGACTTGGCCTGCTCTATGTGTCCTGTCTCAGGATTCCACTAAACGTTATAAATGGAACCAATAGTCCGTTGTAATACCAGTGTGCCCATTTTCGATATTCCTGTTATGCTGATCAGACTTGCGTCAGGCCAGTTTCGACTCTTCAAGATCTTTCGCTGATGACGCTGAGATCAATTTAAACTGTACCAAATTATTATTTGCCTGAAGACTAACCAAAGCCGCGCATCTTGACTTGTATTCCAGTGTTTTTCTCTACTTGCACACAACCGAATTGAAAATGTATATAATAAATTGAACAGCCCAACTTGACACTATCTTCTAAACGCACGTTAGGCAAAGCGATCTGGATACAGTAGTCGGGTTTCGGCGTTCGAGAACAATAGATGGTGTTGCGAACATGCTACTGCTAGAGCGTGTCTGTTTGCACTCCAACCTTTACCGAACATGGTTACATTATGCTGTCTATTTTTTTTTACCATCATCGGCCATCTTAGTTCGAGCTGGCTACTTGGCGTGTTCGCCCAGCGGCTCACCCTAGAAAAGTTTTCCCAAAGCATAGAAGCAATCTCATTTTCTCAGTCATTTGTTTCAGCTTGCTCCCGTTGCGAACTTTTTCGCCAAGACGTGGTTTTATGTGGCATCTCCTCTTCTCGTTTCCGTCTAGTTGACATTCCTAACTTCAAAAAGTACGCCACTCCTTTTCTTTGTTTACAGAGCGATTGTTTAAGAAAGAAGTCAAAAGTGAAGCAGATGACTAGTTGAAAGCTGTTGACTATGTATAGGTTGTCCGGAAGTTCTCAGCTTTTGGTGTTTCACGTATTAAACAACCATAATTTACTTACTAGATCATGATTCCAAATAAGCACCATTCGAATCAGCACACTTTTGCCAATGTGACAGCAGTCGAGAAATCCCATCAAAGTAAAAAACTGGGTGGTCGAAAATTCACGAAATCCACTAAGGCTTTTTTGCCTGGTCCTGATTGATGAAGTATTTTCCAGCAAGGAGTCTGAAATGTAGAAAAGGTGATAGTCGGTTGGCGAAAGGTCTGAAGAATATGGCGGTTGAGGTAGAACTTCAACCCCAATTCGTTCAATTTATGGATAGTGATTTGTGAAACGTGTGGGCGGGCGTTGTCATGCAAAGGAATCGGACCCTTTCTTTTGATAAGTGTTGGCTGCATCTGACAAAATTTTCGGTACAAGTTCTCGTTTTTCTCACAGGTGAGGTTCGCTCTGATGGTTTGGCCCTGCGTGATAAAAGTTATAGTTTATCACACCAGCCGATGACCACCAAGCCGTGACCAGAATCTTTTTTTCGTGAAGGTTCGGCTTTGAAAATTACCTCGGTGGTTCGTCGAAATCCAACCTGTCCGGAACGTCTCCTGTTATCATACATGACCCATTTTTCATCACAGGTGACAATTCGGCCCAAAAAACAGTCGTTTCTGCTACGCAAAAGCAATGCAGAAGACCTCGAGACGTGCCGATTCCTGCCGGTCACTCCGATTGTGGGGCACCCAATTGTCGAGTTTTTTCACCTTCCCAATGCGTTCCAGACCATCTGCAACAGTGGATTTGCCAAGCCTAGCTCTTCTGCTATCTCTCAAACTGTTTGGGATGGGTCAGCCTCCACAAAACCTTCAAATCCTCGTCAGGTATTGCTTTAGGTCGACCGCTATGAGGTTCATCTTCAAGGCTGAAATCTCAGAACGAAATTTGTTGAGCACGCTGTTGCACAGTGCTGCCTTCTAGCACTATTGGGCCCCCACACCTGGTTAATTTGTTGAGCTGTTTCGATTGCGGATTGCTCCAATTTATAGTCGAAGAAAAAAATCGTCCGAAGTGCTCTTTTCACATGCTTGAAAAAATCTTGAAAAAGGGGGTTTATCAAGCAATGGTGAAACGGCAATTATACCATCAGATAGCGCAAGAAATTCTCTACAGGATGTGCTACTGAGAAGCAAGGCAGAATGAGTTTTTAATCAGCAGTGAATGTACAAAAAATAGGTGCACAAAACGCTGAACTTTCCGGACAACCTAATATTATCATAGGCGTCCACTGCATAATGGGTAGCTGTACTTGATGTATTTTTTTCAACTCACTGATGTCAAAGGTGTCGAAGCGCGAAATCGTCAACATGGCCTCGTTGCTTTTAATGGTATGTTCCTAAGTGATTGAATTTGCCTCATATAACGTTCTCTGCTGGCAATTAGCGTGTCCCTGCCCAAAAGACATCGGTTCTTTCTTGGGAAGGAGAATCTACCCATAGTGTTTCGACGTTTCGCATTGCTTTTTCTTCTCAGTCAGGCAGCGCAAACTATCTGATTTTCAAACAAACGCCATTTGAGAAATTCTTAGCCAGCGTCATCCCTGCGCCTTGAATGCAACTGTGCCTCCGAGGACGGTCTTGCAATGCGAGAAGAGACATGGTTCATAGCTGTAAAACGGTCATTTTCCTTCTCTGAAAAATGCACGAACGTAGCTGGAGGGTATGTACCTGGACCGTCTCTGCGACTCCGCCTCAAGATAGTACCCCTCCAGCAATATTCCTCCCCCAGTGCAAAACACCACCGACAGAATAACGGAGAGAGCACAGGCAAATGGCAGCATTTAGGGCTACGGCTAGCAGGTCGTTGACTTGTTGGGCGGCAGCGTGACGTGCGAGAGAGGCGCACGTCGTAAGTTTACGTTACTAATTTCTAGCCCTTTGACGCGCATTTTGGGTGGGAAGCGTACTCTACTACAGATGTGGTCTCTTATTGAAAATCGTTCCAGAGAAAGACAGGTCAGTTGCTATATTACTGTAGTAATCTAGTAGAATACTTCTAGAGAACCACGTACGATCCAGTTGGTAATCTTTTTTCACGGTGGAACTCTGTTAGATTTCGGTAAAAGCTCTCTATGTGGGGTTAGTGCTTGTGGTTGCTGGCGCACTAGCTCGACTAGCCAGCGGTTTCGCTATCGTAGCTTGTTCTCCTCTGAATCTTGGTGAACAATTCATAGTTGTATGGTCACTTTTTCCGAAAGGAACAGTCCAGGTAAGCTAATTTGACAGAACTGTTCTCCAGCACTATTATGAACAAGTTCTCTGGTTCAGGCTGCACTTGGACCAAATCTTTTCACACTGGCTGAGAAGTACCCTCAATTCAAACGAAGAAGAAGCATCATTCGTATGTTTTGATTTGTTATGAAAGAAACAATAATCAGAGGGAATACTCACTCTCTTTTTTTCTCGATTTTTGAAACCACTAAACGAATTTTGAACTACCTCAGAAATGACCCGGCTGCCTTTCTCGGCACGGAATCAAAAAGCTTCTGGAAGCAAGGCAACCACTATTCATATTCTTGATCAAAATTGCTTCTCACTGGAATAAACTTGACTCGAAAAAAAATCCGAAACGGTCACGAAGTTTTGGGACAACTCAATATCTAGTGTAACGTGTAAGGCTTCGAAAGTTGTGTTGCAGAGATCCCAACTCAATATCTAGTGTAACGTGTAAGGCTTCGAAAGTTGTGTTGCAGAGATCCCAGAGGAAGTGAAAAGAGTCATTACATTTCTCCTCTTAACGAATAAATATTTTGGTGCCTGTCACGTTGGTTGACTAATATAGTGCGACATGCGTTCGATGATTAACTAGCCGATACATGCTGGCGAAGTCACACTGTCCTAGCTAAGATGAGGGAAACCACTGGGGCTGTTGGAGAGAACAAACTCCTAAAATAGAGAGACCCCTAGCTATTTATTGTACAAATTAGAACGGTCAAAAGGGCAATTGGCTTTCGCAGAACATGATTTTTTTCAAGCAACTTCCCACACAACTCTGGATGTGATCAAATTATCTCGAGAAGAACGAGAACCAGGACACGCCATGGCGTTGTGATAACCCCTCTTCCCGTTCGCTGCTAATCTGGTTGCGTCGGACCGGATTAGCAGCGGACCAACAATCACCAAAAAAATGGAAGATCTACGCAAAGAAACGACAAAACGAAGACATAATAAACCATAACTATAACAGTGTCGAAATTGAAAATGTTCCTACCTTTCTAACAAAAATTAAATTTCATCCCTAAGTCTAATATTCGAAAAAATTCCCCGTTGTGATGTGGTCGCAACCCCTTTCGAATGACAGGAAAAACCCACTCCTCCTGACGCAATTCCACTTCCAATTCGTTTGAAGACTTTGACATGCTTCTAGAGCAATATTTTTGTCAAGGGCATCAGGAAAGGGTTCATTTGGCGCCGATTCGCATCACCTCTATAATGCGAGTGCATAGGAGCCCCACGAAAAGGTATAAGGGAGGTGTAATTTCTGGATAGGGCTTCCACCGTGCAAGCAGATGTGCTCCTGCGATCAGAAAGGTCCGGAAGTGTACTTTCATCTGTTTATTAATTCATGACGTCGTTGTGGGCGGCCATCGTACTTCCTGTCATCGCTCGCACCCCTCTAAGCTTGCAGGTTGTTTCTGTCTTCAAGTGTCCTTTAGGTGTTCTTCACATGAATAAGTCTTTCACCATGGAGCTGAAGACTTCTGAGTATCGCTGCAATCTCCACTTCAGAAAGGGCCTGAGCTTACGACCCCTCCCCTCCCGCTCGCGGTCAAATACGACCCCTCTGTTGTTATTATCACAACGATGGCGTACCCTGACGACAAGAGAATCACTCATTCTTTTGAGCTTTCAGGTGGTAATCAGCTGCATTGTTGCTGTGCTAATAAGAAAGTCATGGTAAGGCTTAACGATTCAACATTTTTCGAGTTATATTAGCATTACTTGCAGAGTCAGGTTTCTCCCAATGGGACGGACCACGCGAAAACGATAGACACGATTGAACTAGGAAACAATGTAGTTAGGCAATGACGTGCCATTTCCTAGTAAAATGGAAGTAATGCTTGTGAATAAGCTAATGTTGATCTTAGAAAAAATTTGAGAGCATCTGTGATTTTTTTCAAGATGGCAGGAGTCGTAATGAATTCGCTACAGAGTGGCATCATGAATAAAGCTTTAATTTTTGCATTTCTTCACATATGGCATGTATGTATATGAGAAAACTGCTGACGTCTTCTCAGCTCACCTTATATCCTTCTATATAAATACAATCCACTACGTTTGTCTGCTGGAGTGAGTGATTGTGTGTGTTTGACCGGAAACTCAAATTGTTCTGAAAAGGCCGTAGAGAGTTAGTAAGAATTAGTAGAGAGATAAGTGATGGAGAGGGTGAGATGAGGTGAACGAGAAGTGCAAGTTTTACCAAGCTCTGTGCAGTTGGAAAAGCGGTTCAGGAGATGGTATAAGTGTTGAATCCCGGGGACATTTATTAGGCGGCGGCCGAAAAGTAGTGATAAAACTGATAAAACTGAAAAAAGGCATTGAAACGAGGAGCGTCACAAACTCCATATAAGTGCTCTACAAACATTTTATTTGTTTTTTCTTTGAAAAGAACGCACAACTGAAGGGAGGAAGTAGAACAGCAACACTGATGGTGGGTGACAGGAAGCGACATGATGACTGAAAGGACTATGGAGAGTCGCTCTTGTTTTCCTTCTTTACAGTTTTCACGACTAATGCGGCACTATGATCGCCCAAGTACAAGGGATGATGTCACTGTTCTTGTCCATCTTTCCTAGCAATTAGAAAGAATCAGAAAAGTTCTATCGCACTCTTCAATTTCCCAGAAAGGCAGTTTAGAAGCTTAGTGCATCGAGAAGGAATATGCGTTTAAAAATACAACCATATTCCTTCTCGAATGCTGCTTGCTTGCTTCGTGATAGGAGTTGTGATTAATAGCTTTAAGCTTCCAACTCCCATGTCCGACACTTGTTACCCTCGGAACGTTGAAACTCGCTAAGATTCTGGACTTATAATTGAATGTTCGCGAGGTGTGATTAGCCCTGGGCATTTGCAATCGAATCATTGATAACAGGAATGTGGGAGATACCCTCGTCATCCGGGCAGTTGATTAGGGCGGTCGTCAACGGGCCGCAGCGCGTGCCAGGAACTATTTGCTTTTTCCAGGCTAATTTAGTCATTTTTTCCAACTTTTCACTGTTTTGGCTACTTTTCCCAGATTAGCAGCTCCTTATCTTCACAAGGTGGAAAAAAATGACTAAATTAGCCTGGAAAAAGCAAATAGTTCCTGGCACGCGCTGCGGCCCGTTGACGACCGCCCTAATCAACTGCCCGGATGACGAGGTTACATGTAGCACCTCAACAACGGGATTAGGGAAAGATATTTGCTATAGGTACAGATGAGTTCTCATCTGACGGTGGGGCGGTACTATGTCCACGTTGGCGAGCGGTTCCACGCCGTCGCGATCGATAGTGGCTGGCACGCCCACTAAACTGACGTTGTTCTCAGCTTTTGAAAGCTGAAATTATTTTCTTTCGGCTTAGTAAGGAAAGGTAAGCATGTTTTACTGAAGCTGACTTTCATTTCGCATTTATTCAGTCAATAACGTCGAAACTGATCGATGACATTGATGACATTCACGAGAATTTAAAAAATTGCTAAAATAGAAGGAGGAGGTCAATTTTCTACAAGAAATTCATGCAAAGTGTAATTTAGTTCTGAAACAAACTTACCGTTCCGAATTGAAGTGGAAAAAAACAATAATTTCAGCTTCTACAAGCTGGCTACAACAAAAATACAGCAAAAAATACTGCAAAAACAGCTGACTTGGAGCGTCAGCAATTATCGATCGGCGAGGGTCTAGACGGAAGAGTGGGCAGATATGCATTTGCGTGTCTTTGAGTGCAGGATCAATGTCAGAGAGCGCAGATGATAATCGCACTAGGCCACCGCTTTCCTTCAACACGCAACCGTCGGACCGCTCGCCAGCGTGGTCGTAGGACTGCCTCACCATCGCATGAGAGCCCACTGTATAGGGATGGGTACAAATATACTGCCGGTGGATTGCTGTATAGGGTTCAATATAAGATGCGCAGTAGTGCTCGTTAGCCAAACTAGTGTATAATGCGCTGGGCATGCCTGCATGTGCCATCTCTGGGTGCCAAAACTCTTAGCGTTGGTCGCAGCAACAGTAAGACATTGCTTTCAGGAGTTGATGTAGGCAGTGAGGCAATAATTGTCACATATGATTCATTATGTGTTGCACGCCGTAGTGCTCGTTAGCCAAAGCGGTGTATGGGTGACGCAGAGGTAGAACATGTCAAAAGCTGACGAGGAATGTAGGTACGGAGAGTTCACCAATTCATATCGGCTCCTCAAGCCGCACTGTATTAAAATTAATGAGAATCGGTTTTTAAAGATAGCATCGGGTAAGGCGGTCAAAAAAAGTCACTTCGACCGAGTCACATATCAGCAAAGTTTTCGCTGCCCAGACAGAGGACGTGGATACGAGTACCAGGGCGGAAGATACCCAAGATGTTCCTCTATAAGCAGGAGCTGGCTCTCGCCCATCACCTTCATGTACACCAAAATATGAAGTCATCTCCAGTCGCAGCCTGACTGGAGAAGACCTTTGGAATTCATGTCACCTCCAAA